ACTCTTCACACCATGGGCATCCTGGGGGGGTTGCTCTTTCTATTCTCCTCCTTTGTATCTGCTGGTGGCTCAAGGACTGTCCCTTGCCCCAACTTTGTCACAGCCCTACAAACCTTGTGCCTGACCACCACTGCCAATGACGACAGGGAAATACTATTTTACTAGCTCCTTGGACCATCCGAGAGGCAGTGTGGTCTAGTGTTCAGAGACAGCCTACTGAACTAACCTCTGTAAAGAAAAGCAGTTAGGCACAGGTGCTAGAACTAGGGGTGCTGGGGATGCAGCAGCACCCCCTGGCTTGAAGTGGTTTCCATCATATACAGGCATAGGCGCCGACTCTGTGGATCTTCCAGGGCTGGAGCAACCATGGAAAAAAATTAGCAGGTGCTCCCTCCCTCTCGCGTCCGCCTGTGGCCCCTGCTGATAAACTCCTCCTCCTCCCTCCCAGTGCCTCCTGCATGCTGTGGAACAGCTGTTCAGCGGTGTGCAGGAGGCGCTGGGATGGAGGGAGAGGAGCATGGACATGGCGTGCTCGGGAGAGAGGCTGGAAAGAGGCTGGGAAGAGGCGGGGTGGGGCCTTGTGGGAGGGGATACAACGCAGGGCCGGCTCCAGGGTTTTGGCCGCCCCAAGCAGCCAAACAAAAAGTGAGGGACCATCCGCCGAATTGCCACCGAACAGCTGGACGTGCCGCCCCTGTCCGAAGTTGCTGCCCCAAGCACCTGCTTGGTAAGCTGGTGACTGGAGCCAGCCCTGATACAACGTATGTGTTGATAAAAGTGATACAGCAGTTTAATCTCTTGTACTTTGCTGCTTGAGCAGAGGTCTTTTCAAATGCAAATAGTTTCTTCTTTCTACAGCACAAGTCCGAAGTCCCATAGCTAACCCTGAGGTATATAGGAACCATCAGGATTAGAATGGTAAGTACTCACATGGGTTATAAGTTCATTAAAAAAAAGTAAATTGTGTCCAGTCACATTCTGGGTCTGAGAAATTGACACATTCAAAATCTGGGCTATCAAGTTCCCCACCAAGGATCTTTTTTAAAAAAATGATAGTTCCTTGCACATCAACTCAACCTCAAAACTACTGGTAATAGCTCAACCAAAGGCAAGTGTTTAGGTCTGAGTTCCTTTGCCAGACCTGAAGAAAAGCGCTGTGTAGCTGGAAAGCTTGTCTGTTTCACCAACAGAAGTTGGTTCAATAAAGATATTATCTCACCTCCCTCTAATATGCTGGGACCAACATGGCTACAACACCACTACAGACAACTTTCTTTTCTGTAAGCTTTGTATTTGGAATAGTTTTCTGATCACTAATAATGTTTTTTTTACAGGGCCTTTAACATAAGCCTATCAGAGTGCACGAGAATTTCATCAGTTTGTTACGTTTGAAGACCAAGTAAAATTATAGTGACATCTAGTGACCATTAAGATTACCAGCAGTAACAGAAGAATATATTGCTGCTAGAGAACATTTTAATCACACAGTATTCAGAATTCGATTATTAAAATCAGTAAGAGAATGAATTAAAATGCTGATGGATGTAATAACGTGACCAACCCTATAATTTATTGAAAACAGGCTTGCAAATTCTTAAGAATGCAAAGAATGATTACAATCAGACCTAGTTAATGTGAATGCATCTAAAACAACATGTTTATTCAGCCTGAAATACAGGAAAATGTGGTTAATAGTGAGTTCTCTGTGGTCAGAGAAACACCAGATCACCTGCCTATCCCCAATAAGAGAAATTGGAGAAATTTAATGTAACAAAGATTTGCAATTGCCCATTTATTAAATGTATCTGTATAAATAGCTAGAGCTGTACAATTTCATGTGAATACAAATATTAATGTATAGAACAGTTTCATGGTCTCTATAATGCCAGGTTGTTAAGAATAGTGATTGCGCTTTCATTCCCCCAAACTGCACGTCAGTTTGAAATCCCAGGCAGGAGAGCACTCTGCCTGGATCTTGGGCTGAGAAGACCTTCACTAGGACACACATGGCAGTAACAAAGTCTGAACTTGGACTGCTTTGGACTCATAAGACTCAGCTGTATCCTTCTGCATTGAGCCAGGGGTGCTTGCTGTCATTTTAGCCCCCCAAGGGGTGACTGAATCCTAATGCCTTCATGGGGGCTGCCACAGACCCGCTCTGCCTCATCCACCCAAACTGCTCGGATGGCAATAGAAGTTTCAGGCATTCAAGGAATGCAGGACTGGACTCTGCAATCGTCCTTAGTAAGGAATCAGAGGGCGCTCTGGTCACTTCAGAGTGGTGAGTCTGTTATACTTAGCCTGTGTAATGACCTGGTCCCAGCTGGGCCATCAGCAGAAGGACTCAAACCTGGGCACCTCTGGTTCTTTGCATAAGCCTCTACTGCTTGAGCTAGAAGACCTTGCTCTGTAAGCCAGTGCTGCAGCAGGCTCATTGCTCTCAAGCCACCGCTAGAGAGGGACAGAGCGCAACGCTGAGTGTGTGTGTGGGTTACCCTGTGAAAGAATAGTCCCCACCACACCAGCAGTGGGCCTGCTGCCCCGGAGCTCAGCTGCCGTACGAGGGCTCAGCATGCACCTCTTGAACCCATTCCTGAGCCTCTTCCCAGCCCCGCAGAGCCAGTGGGTTCTGACCTGGGGGATGGAGCAAGCACCTTGTGCCGCTCCCGAATGACACTTTGTCGCTGACTGAAGGGAAGCTGCTGATGAGAGCCATGGTCAGACTTTCCCGCTGAGCTGGAAGATCACTGGGAAGCAGGTTCTTTCAGGGCATGATCCAATGCCCACTGAAATCAGTGGAAAGACCCACTAAGTTCACTAGGCTTTGCATAAGGCTCAGGGAGAGGGGAGGGATGGAAGGGGAAATGTGTGAGGAGGGGCAGAGATCTCCCCTGAAATCAAGAATGTTCTGCAAGGAAGAAGCAGTTTAAGGCTGTGTTGTGGGAAATGGGTTCCTGTAGGTGTCGGACTGTCAGTACTTACAGTGAGCTTGTCTCTAGTTAGTGCTATCAGTCCCTCACTTTCCTACAACACCCCAAATGGGGAAATTCCCAGCGAGATTTAAAAAGCAGAAGAATGCTTAGCGGACACTGCTGTCTGATTGCTTGGGGTTTGGCTTGCTCTCCCGTAAAACACTGGGTTCTGACTCTAAGTACGACAGGATCTAACCTGGACAGTGAAATCTGATAAGTGTTGCAATCCGGACAGTTATCTTTGTCTGTTTACAAACATGGAGCTTCCCAGGGGATGTCTGCCTATGTCAGGCAACCTGTTCCCTTGACGATAACGTGGCTTGGACCTGAGCACAGCCACATGGGGTGAAAGACCATCCACAGATGGCAATGACAAAGAGCAAAGTATTGAGATGGGGGACAGGTTGTGCAGTGGGTTACCATAGAGATCTGTGCCTGAACTTATTTATCTGCACAATCAGCAGTTTAGTGAAATGTTTTGTTGATATTAAATTAGGATGTCGCTGAGCACAGAGAATTAATACAAAAGAATCTAGAAATAGTTGAGGCTTGGGAGGAAAATAGCAAAATGAGATTTAGCTTAGAAAAATTCACACTAATCCTTAGGTGGAAAGCAATATGAGTTATACTCCGTGATGGGAGGAATGCTACATAGCAGTAGTTATTCTTTAATTCTTATGTAGCATCCAGAGGCTCCAGTCACTGTTAGAGTCCTGTAACGCTTGACACAGTTCAAACATCCAAGAAGACACATTCTACATTCTACAAAATCTACTGTAATCCACAAAGAAATGTAGCAGAGACAAAGGATAACAAATTAGACACTAAACTACTGTAGTAAGATGAGGCCCTGAAACATAAACCCTTATCAGAGGCCCGGTATGAGGCCTAAGGCCTGAACTAAAGTAATGGTCAAGACTTTGCTATCATAAAGCAAAGTTAAGCTATGAGCCAGAGGCAGGCCCTGCTTGCAGAAGCTGGCAACAAAAGGGCTGATGGTTCAAAATACATTTACCTAAAAGGTACTGGACACTAAAGATACAAACATATGCCAGGATGATACCAGAACACTCCGATACTTGCACATTACACACACAGATAACAAAGAACAGGCGAACCCATCCTAAAGACAGGGGCAAAAGGGTATTATGATGGATGGAGTTGTTTTGTTCTAACCAACATGAACAAGGTGAGAGGCGGCACCTTACTGCATGGAGGGGTTGCACCTCAATACGTCAGGAATGCTGTGTAACTTGTTTGTACCTGTGTATAAGAATGCATCCCTGGAGCAGTGTCTTTGTCCAGCCTAGGGGGCAGTGGAGTGTCCCGTCACTGACTGAGCCGGTCCATTGTCAGGGAACACGTATGTACTAGCAGAACTGTAGACATCTGATCCGGGGAGCTAGAGACTGTGTTTCGTTTGACAATAAACCTGGCTGGGTGCCTTCGTGCCTTATCGGAGTCTGTGGTTATTGGGGGTTCTCTTGGGGTCTGCTGTGTCAGCGATCTGCGCAGAGCCGGGGCAGCACACAGAGGGAACACACGCACGCAGCCGACAGTTACCAACATTGGACAGAGCAGAGCACCACACCGGTGGCGTCTGACAACAGCTACAATACAAGAACTTGGGTTTGCTGCCCAATCAGGACTAGGGTTTGTGTTTGTGTTCAACAGTGCTAGAATCTTGTTATTCTTGTGACATATCAAATAGTGAAAATCTTCTCAGATCAACTGTTCATGAACTTTCAGCCCTAAATTCCTGACCAACACTTAGCTGCCTAATATCCTGAAAAAAGTACCATCCTCCGATATTATAATGTTATTGAAACAAATAACTCTCCCTGTCCCCGACAGCCAACCAGTAGATTTAGCCACTGAAAAAGACAAAGCAGTGTGTGTTCTAACGAGTAGAGTTAGAATCCTCATTACGTCAGTGCAACTAAAATTTGCTAGCTCACTACAGCTGAACTCCTCCCTCCTCTGGCATTGGTCAGTTACAGAAGAGAGTGAAAGTGACGTGATGAAAGAAGGAATTTCTCTCAAGAGAAGCTGGAGAACTGTTGTCTGTTCCCAAGTTCTTCACTGCATAAAGGACTGAAAACCGGGCCAGACGGTTTAGTGCCTAAAGAAGCAAGAGAGTGAAAACTGATACACTTGTGGTTGAACTGTTTTTACAGGTAAGACACCTTTTAAACCCAGAATCTTTGTGGCTGACTTGGTCATAAATGTGCATTCAGATCTGGCCTATGAACAAACATTGCAGGAAACGGCTACACTGCATAAGAACTGAGAGGGAATCTTCAGCCAATTTCAGACTTGACTTCTCTTGTGTCAGTGTAACAGACTTACTGGCTTATTCTCTCAATTATCAGCCCAGCCAGAATACACATTCACATCATCTGACTTGGTTCAGATGCCAGTGTGAAAGGTGACCCAGAAATAACCATGACAGATGGACAGATTCAAACACTTCTGATGTTATGCCTGGTTCTGATAGTTGTAAGCAATAATACATTTTATTTTGTTTTCAAAGCCAACATACTTTCAATACATTTGAAATTAGAGTAGCAACAACACAGTAAGATTTCCCTTAAAGAGGAAAAATCATTTAAAATACTGTTTTTACTTCTACCAGAAAAGTAACAAAAGGAATTGAAGTTGGATAGCAGTGTTGACAACTCTTGTGATATTTGGTGGTTTTCTTAACAATTTCAAAGCTAGAATCAGGTTATTACTTGAGAATCTCAGATCTCATTTAAAAAAAAAAAATTTTTTTTCTAGACCTCCTGGTTGCTGTGAAAAGCTTGAAAATGTAACCCCTGAATGCGCCAGTTCCAGAACGTAAAGAAAAGGAACCCAAATGTATTATTTTTAAAAATCTCATGATTTTTAAGCCAATCGTGTGATTTTTGGGGGCCTGACATTTGAACCTTTGGGGTTGACGATACTGGGATAGCTACAATTTACATTTCTATACATTCTGAACAGCACCAGTTGTGGACATTTCTGATCCTGCCTGCATATTGTTCTAATTGGGAGCAATACTGTTTTATATTTGGTGTATTTTCCCCATTTCTTTCATATGATGGGGTTTTTGAGGGTTTTTCAGTACTGCATACTGATAACTTTATCCAGATTGAATACTTCTTATATCCTTAGTGTAGGAAGTTTTAAATACATGACTCATAGGAGGAAGTCTACCTAGAGAGCAGCGCAATGGGATTTTTATCCCTTGGGCTAAGGACACCTTTATCTTAAGGCACAGAAGGCACCTGAGAATGTTTGAGGCCTCTCAGATCAATCATCTGTGCTCTGACCAGTCATTCTCAATCTGATTCTCAGAGTAGGCTGATGTTTGGTGGTTTTAACTCTTTGGTCCTCTGGGTATAACTATTAGCCTGTTTGTCCATATCAAAATCCCTGTTCCCTCCCCAAAGGGCCACCAATCCCCTGGGTTTTCTCCACCAGGTCCTGGCTTCTTTCCTGCATTGCTTACCATGAGCTGTGATCTTGAGTAGTGATCTCTGCCCACCTGGGACATTATATTCTGGGAACAGCCAGCTAGCCTGCGCACCTTGATCTGATCTGCAGCTGTTGCTGACTGGCTTGTCTTTCATTCCCCCAGCAGTGGGAAGGAGAACCTGGTCTCATTGCTGGCCACACGGCCCTTTGTACACTGAAGTTTGGGAGACCCCAGAGTGCGTTGAATTGATGGGTGGTGCATTCCCTAATCCCAGTGCATTTGGGGCTCCCTCTCAGGCCCCAGGGTTTCTAAAAGGCAGGAACAACGGTGCAGACGGAGAGAGCCAGGTCCTGCTGCTGTCAGGTAAAGGGGTTGTAGATCTATTTGCCCATTCCTGACAATTGACTTCCAGGCACAGGGCCTGCTGGTTGCCTCTGAAGATTGTCATAGAATCATAGAATATCAGGGTTGGAAGGAGGTCATCTAGTCCAACCCCCTGCTTGAAGCAGGACCAATCCCCAGACAGATTTTTGTCCCAGATCCCTAAATGGCCCCCTCAAGGATTGAACTCACAACCCTGGGTTTAGCAAGCCAATGCTCAAACCACTGAGCTATCCCTCCTCCCAGGAAAGGAACAGTGAGTAGGGAGAATAAGGGCAACCCATCCTCCCTGCTGTATCTCACATTATGTAGTGGGAGGGGAAAAGCCACGGTGGAGATGATGCTCTGTCACGGTCCTTGATTTCCTTCTTTTGGAAAGTGAGCATCTCCTTCCTGCTCCTAACACCTCACTTAGACCAGTGAGGCACAAAGCTGGGGAGCTGAGCCACCAGGGATGGTGGTGAGTAAGAGGCAGAAAACGAGCCCCTCCCATTCACCCCTACTAATGAGAGGAGAATGGAGCTGCCAGGCTCACTGAAAGGCCACAGCACCAGGAGTGCGAATCTGCTTCTAGCTCCTGTCAGCAGTAAGAGCAGAAGACAGTGGGATATGTGCCCTCTGCCAACCAGCATGAATAGCACAGGAAATATTTAACCAAGCAGTGCCTAGAAGGGTGGCCTTGCAGTTAAAGAACTAGATCAGGGCTCAGGAGTGCTGGGTGTGGTTTCTGGCTCCCACTATGACCTTGAGTGCGTCCTTTAAACCCAGATCCTCAAAGGTATTTAGGCATCTAACTCCCCCTGAGGTAGGCACCTAAATATCTTTGATAATCTGGGCCACAGTTGTCTCCCTGACTCAATATCCCACCTGAAAAATGGGAACAATATCACTTCCTTTGTCTGACTGGTCTATTTAGATAGTAAGCTCTTCTGGACAGGAAGTACCTCTTAAAATGTGTATGTAGTGTGCCTAGCACACCTGAAGTCACTAGGCACAAAGGTAAAACAAACAAACTCGTCTCCTTGTCTTCTGTAAGGGGCTTAGTCATTTTAAACAATCAGGGTGTAAAGACATTCTGCTTCTATGACGGATGGTGACACTCATCGAAGCATTTCAGACACACACAATTGTTCTTTTACTCACCATACAGGTAACATGAACATCGCGGAATATTTCACCAGAATTTCTTATAATGGCTCCTACAAAAACCCGGATTTGGAGACCTTGACTGCAATATTCCAGCACCACATCAGGGCTGTTCCTTTTGAAAACCTCAGCATCCACTGCGGGGAAACCATCGAGTTAGACTTAGAACCAGTTTATGACAAAATAGTGAAGAAGAAACGTGGTGGCTGGTGCATGGAAAACAACCATCTTTTATATTGGGTTCTGAAAACGCTGGGATATGACACCACCATTATAGGAGCAAAAGTTTACAGCCCAGAAGAAAATGCATATGATCATCATATTAATCACCTTCTGCTAAAGGTGGTCTTGGATGGGAAAGCCTACATAGTGGACGGCGGCTTTGGAATGGTCTATCAAATGTGGCAGCCAATGGAGCTGATTTCTGGGAAAGACCAGCCCCAGGTTCCTGGCATCTTTCGCTTCATGGAAGACAATGGGATCTGGTACTTTGAGAAAATCAAAAGGAAGCAATACAATCCCAACCAAAGCTTCTCTAATTCCAATAATCTGGAAAAAAATGCATGTAAGAAAGTTTACCTGTTTACCCTTGAGCCACGAGAGATAGAAGATTTCAGGCCCCAGAGTGTGTATCTCCAGACATCTCCAGATTCTCTGTTCGTTAAAAAGTCCATCTGCAGCCTCCAGACCAGTGATGGTCTTTGGGCTTTAGTTGGGTGGAAACTCACCAAGGTTAAATACAATTACAAGGAGAACATGGATCTGGTGGAAACCACAACACTTACAGATGAGGAGGTGTTAAAAACAGTGAAAGACAAATTCAGAGTAATGCTAGATCATAAACTCATCCCAGTTAACAGCAGCAGATTGTCTATGGTTTAGTTTCTTGGCCAGAATATAATTTGATACAGCTACATCAAATAGAATCTCTTTCCCAGCATCCAATTATTGCAAAAAATGAAGGGCTAGGCTGTCACTTTCTGGCTAGCATAGAACAAGGGGTGGCACGTAGCAGTGCTACCCCAGCAAAGAAATTGTGACTCTTGGAGCTACAATTGCTTCCCTGCTTCTCCCCTGGCTTCAGCTGGTAAATTAAGTCTTCCAGGCTTATGCCAGTAGCAGAGTACTTTCCACTCTGTGTGGGCTCCACTGCGCTGGCTGGTACATGGGGTTGGGATGGGTGTGTGGGCTGGAGGCAAGTTTCTGCTCCTTCCCTGCTTCTTTAACCCCATGGAGCTGCCCTTTCCGTATGCAGAATGGCAAAGTGAGGAGGCAACGCAAGGAATCCCCTTAGGCTTCCTTGCTCCCCTGCACTGCCATGTAGAGCAAAACATACCCAGGCTCTAAAGAAATGCTACATTACAGCTGAAATTTAATATCCAGAGATGCTAGGACATTCAGAGTTCAGGTTGCCACGGTCACCCTAGGTCTACCCTCTTTTGCAATTGCATTAGGAAAAGGGTCTTTCACTACGTAGTCACATAGCTGCACAGCTGTGATATACCGGGATTAATACTTAGGGACTGACTATTTGCAGCTATCAAAATTGCCATGGATGAACACAACTGCAGCACTGGGTGGGAATTTCCTGCCCCTTTTGTGGCTCCCCACATAACCTGCAGCATCTCCATAATATAACCACAAAGGGGCCATTCTAGGGAACAATTTTTGAGGCACGGACCACATATTTTTGCATTTATAATCCTGACCCAGCCATGGTCTCTCTGCAACCCACCGTCCCCTTGAAATGCATGTGATTTCTACTCAGCATAATGACTTTTACTCTCCTTCAGGAAGAACTTGGTCATTTCTTTTTAATCAATCTACCAATTGGTCCTACACTCATCACTGAGACTTGGGAAGGGCTGTTATTCCCCTGCCCAAAACAACTAAACATTCATAAAAACTGTTCCGTTTGTCATGATTATTTGTACGTTCAGAAATATTTTATGAAGACCAGCCTTGTACAATAAAATATCTGAGGACCATATTGTTGTGTGATGTGCGTGGTTGTAGCCATTGTATGCACTGGTTAATAACAGGGGCTGCAGGCTAACAAAATCTTAGTCATACACGTAATTGATACATGAGTTAATGGGATTGCTTCCATATGTGAGGGGCACAGGAAGTGACCCGTGTTCTGTTGTTTTTATTGACCAGCAGCCCAGATTCCTTTTCAGGTAAAAAGTCATTTAATATTCTGGTTGTTGATGATGAATTATTAAAAAGAAGCTTTTGCATTAAAATTAAGCTTAGTATCAGTTTACTATCAGATAGGGCCTCTATCGGGAGATTGTATCCTTTCCTTCAAGGGGAATTGACTCACTCAGCTAATAGGTATTTTTCCATCCATTCATCGGTGGTGTCATTTGAAAAATATGATAAAAATGCTGAGCAGTCACAAAAAATGGGCTCACATCAGTTAAATGTGGTTAAAGGAACAGAAACGTGAAGTGTTCCATGTAGACAGAATAACTTCCCACTGCACCATCCGCTGCGACATTCACGTGCCCCCAGACTCTCACATGACAAATCCAGTCAGCCTGGCTGTGTGATGGTTATTTATAACTGATCATGCCTTCCCTCTTCCTGCCACAAGAGGAGATGAAATTCTAAAGCAAGAACATACAGTGAATCACCATAGAAACAGGTTCATTGCAGGGTGTCCCAATATTCAAATGAAATTCTTGCAGGGTCTAGCTAGCAACATGGGTGTCCCATCACACATCATAATATAAGAGACATCAACTCTAGCTATCGTAAGTATGTATATCACCCTCATTACTGTCATATCTTTAATGTATTTATCCTTACAAGCATCCCATATCTAGGAAAGCACTATTATCCCCATTTTACAGAGGAGGAACTGAGGTGGGGAGAAGGAGGGATAGCTCAGTGGTTTGAGCATTGGCCTACTAAACCCAGGGTTGTGAGTTCAATCCTTGAGAGGGCCACTTAGGGAGGGCAAAATCAGTACTTGGTCCTGCTAGTGAAGGTAGGGGGCCGGACTCGATGACCTTTCAGGGTCCTGTCCAGCGCTATGAGATCGGTATATCTTCAAAAAAAGAGAGAGAGAGACTAAAGCCTAGATCCTCAATGGTATTCAGGATTTCAATGGAAATTAGGAACCTAAATACCTTTGAGGATCTGGGCCTAAGTGACTTGTCCAAGGTCACACAGAGGGGCTGTGGCACAGCAGGGATTTGAAGTCAGGTCTGTTCAGTCTCAGAATAGCATCCTAGTCAATAGGCCACATAGAGAATGGCTGCACTACACCTGGGCCTGAGGGCTACCTGAAAGACTGGGCTGCAGAGTGCTCCTCTCCTCCGGCCCAAACGTAAGTTATTGTGGGCATGTTTGAACAACACATGGGAAATGTTAGGGTTCCCAAAGAATGGGGGAAATGCAGGCAACACAGACTCAGCACCCTAAACTGGATGGAGCAGTTTGACAGACAGGCCTGATGCTCAGATCCAGAAGAAGTGCTGGAGGAAACTACTAGGCCAAATATCCCAGCTATGCATGCAGATAACATGTTACTCACAGAAATACTGACACCTGGTGATTACGTGCTGGCAGAACCCAGCTGGTCATCTCAGCTGGCCAAGGGCACCTGGGAAGTTACACACACTTACGGAGAATTCACTCAGCAGTACTCGCACCATGGCAGGCCCCCACCTTGCAGGGACCACTGCACTTCCATGTGTATGAGGGGTGGGTGGGAAAGGCTTCTTAGGAGTAGGCAGGGTACTCTGGACAGGGTGGGCCAGGACTTCATGCCAGCTCTACACAAGCCAGTGCGGAGGGGAAATTTGTGGTGAGCCAGTCCACCAGCTAATGTGGATCCCCACACCTGGGCTGGAGTGATGGCCCAGAAGGGGCTGTTGTGCAGTTCCAGACCCTCCTCTTGTCACAGTACCTAGGTAGGCTGCTCCTCCTTCTGAGAGCCTTTTCCAGTCCCCAGAGTGCACCCCTTCCAAGTGACAGGCCTGTTCCTCCACACCTCCTTGGGGCAGGAGTCTGAAGTGCAATCCAACCACTTTTTGACTGGCTCTCTGGGTTATACCTCCCTGGTATACCATGATACCGAGCAGCTCCCTGTGGACGGTGGGCGTGACCCTGCCAGAGTTCTCCTTTGGGAGCCAGTGGTCCGTAACACTATGCAGTGACACCGAAGCCATTTCTCTAAATCAAAATATGATTTATTTGCCCAAACAGTAAACAGAGCTGAGAGTAGATTTAAAAAATAACAGAGAGACCTACACGCATATTGTTTTACCTATGCTTGGCACTCCCCATCCAGTCCTGAGGTAGACACGACTAAGCCTATGTGTCCCCTATTCTCTCCGGGTACCACGTTACAGCTAGCTGGCTGCAGACCCTGGCTCTCAGGACAGTTGGTCTGTCAGCCTCGCTGACGCTGTATCCCTGCCAGCTGAGCTGACCGTATTCCCCCTCCCTCCCTTTCTGCCAGGGCAGCTTTTTAACCCCTGAGGGTCTTTTGAACTCAGTCAGCTCTGGGAAGAGAAAAATATCTTAAGCTGGATGGTTCCGGCATCCATCTTAGGCTGGATGCTTCCCGCTTCTTTCCCCAACGGATGGCCAAGCCCTTGTTGTCTTAACGCCTTTAAGTGGGCACCTCAGAGACTGTCTTATCTGTGTCATTGTTTTACTGTTCCTGGGTTCCTTAACAACCTCCCTTTACAGTCTGTTTTGATTTAACTCTATGCAATTGGTCAGGCAGCAGTATAAACCTGAATGAGGCAATCAAGTCAGAGATAAGATTTCTACACGGTCATAGAGATATTTCCAGTGTGTCATAACCCTGCAAAAACAGCTTTAGCAGCGGGAACCAAAAGGACCAATCTCTTAGGGTATATCCACAGCCACAAGGTGTGATGGCTGCTCGGGCAAACACGCCCAAGCTGGAATCCAGCCGTGAAGCCATGGCATGCCGTGCCTCCAGAACCCAAGCTAGCTAGACTAAAACTGAGCTGCAATCACACTCCAGGACTGCAACACAGACATACCCCTGGTTGACTCTTCCTCCAGTCACTCTCCCTGCAACCTGTGGCCTGTTACACAGCTAAACACTTCCCTGTCAACTGTTTCGGTGCACACTGTTCCGGACTTATTGCTCAGAGAGGAGTTGATAAGATCACTGGGCCAAGCCTGGGTCATTCAGCAAACCCACACTCTCACATGTCAACAGTTTGGTCTTTTCTTAATGTTGTTATCTCAGCTGTTGGAGTCTTAAAGGCAGAGCAGCCACATGGGCTCAGATAATTCAGGGTATGCTATATACACTGTCCACAGCAGTGAACCCCTGAGCCCAGGGCGACGGACGCGGGCTCACGCTACGGTGCTGAAAAGAGCTGTGTAGACATTGAGGCTTGGGCTGGAGCTCCGAAGTTGAAGTCCACCCCCATCCCTAGGCTTCAGAGCCTGAGTGCCAGCCCGAGGTGCAACATAAAAGCACGGTCTCTTACAGCTGTTGTTAATGCTGTAGCAGGAGCCCGAGTCTGTCGAGTTGGACTGGGAGGCTTGCTGCCATGGGCTGCTGCTGGCTGTGTAGATGTATCCTCAGGGGCTAGCTGGGAATAGAACCCCCCCTCCACTGAATGAAGAACAAAGGCGCCTCCAGGGCTTGATATAGGGATACAAGAACTCCTCACCACTACACTACAAGTTCAAAAGTTGCTCAGCCTGTCTGCAGATCAGTGACTTTAGTGGAATGAATTGGTAGCGCTCCATCTCAGTCTGGGCAGGTGTCTTCCATGCAAACACCACCATCACAGTCATGGGGGCTTGTGGAGTACTGAGCAGGGGGGCCAAGGACTGGAAGACCATAGAGACAGAACTACTCTGATTGATTGTCCCTGGAGGGCAGGTTTGTGGGGGCACTTTGGAACATTGCATAAGGAAAATTTACCCTGGTGATGCCTGTGCTGTACTCGCTCTTTGGATTGCTAGACAGCTTCTGTCTTCAAAAGAAATGGTGATCCAATGGGCAAAGCTGAAGGTTTAAACTTATTTAGATTGTGAGCCTTTTGTTCTGTGTTTGTACAGCACCTAGCACAAGGGGGTCGTAGGCCATGACTAGGGGTCCTAGGAGCTATGACAGTACAAATAAACAAAATTATTATTATTAATAATAATGTATAACACAAAAGAGGACACTACCCCTCTTTCCCTAAATGGCTGTGCCAGTGAGTGAAACACTCAGTTCTGCTATATCAGGGGTCGGCAACGTTTGGCACGCGGCTCGCCAGGGTAAG